TGGAAGCTGTTTGAGTTTTCTAAATCAGTGTTATTCTCCATTAGTAGTTTAGATCAAATTATTTCTTGAAAAGGACAAAACGTCTTGTCTGATCCCTTTCAGTTTCATTTTTGGTAGTCTTTCTTATGCTGTTTTTCTGTTTTGGATCTCATAATAGTATTGGCTTTCCATTTTTGGTATAGCTGTTGGAAGCAATATCCAGATGCTAATTTTCTGTGCTCCAAAAGCAACCCTTAATCATCTTTCAAATCATCTCCTGTTATCCCTTAGTTGATGCATGTGAAAGAGCAGAAGCATTCTTTCTGTGCCTCTTGATTCCAATTCCATATGGCAAGGGGCATTTAAATGATGAGAATTGCTTTTTAAAGTAAAGTTGATGTACTTGAAGTCTATTCAATTAGTCATTATTTTTCGACTTGCTTGAAAATTTAGCTGAGGTTAATTGTGGAAGTTGCTTTCCAGTCATATGCTACATGTGGTGTAATGATCTTTATATGGATGTTGCTTGTCCAAGCAACTCCTCTCATGAAGAGTTATATGTGTTGGAGCTATTCTATCTTCCTTTGAAGTTTGAATACCTCTTACCAATGCAACTTTTTTTTTTTTTTTTTATTCATGTGGAACTTATTTACCCTAATTAGTTTCTTAATTTTAACCTGCAGTTCCAGGCATTTGACTTTCGGTCAACTTTGAGAAACGAACCATTCTTGCAGCTTTTCCATTCTCTATATGTATATCCTTTAACTGTGAGCTTGAGTTGGAAAAGGAATCTATTCGTAAGAGTTGAGCTAAGAAAGGATGATGCAGATGTTCGTAGACAACCTTTAGAGGTAAAATTGTTGAGCTAAGGAATCTATTTTTAAACTCGTCTTATTGTTCTTTCTGTGTTACTGATATGACTAGGCAATGTATCCAAGGGAACCTGGTTTATCACTTCAGAAGTGGGCTCACACGCAAGTTGCTGTTGGTGTGGCCTGCTACCATGATGAAATTAAAGTTTCTCTCCCTGCTGTTTGGACACCATTGGATCACCTTATATTCACTTTCTTCCATGTTGATCTTCAAATGAAATTAGAAGCTCCAAAACCAGTGAGTTCAATGAGATCCTTTTTTCTTTTCCTTCCATTTGAAATAATACAAAATCATCTGAACCTCGTCTTGGTGGTTGTATACTTGTTGGTTAGTGATTTGGCCTGTTTCACATTCCTCTCATTCTATCTTTTATTGCAATCCGAAGTAGTTCTGTTCTTTTACTTGGCAGGT